TGTTGTTACTTCAACTTCACTCTACTTGATGTGAGGATAATACTTCTGCTAGGAACTCATAATGTAGGATGTATGCTATTGATTGGGAAGAAAGTTGATCACAAATCTTGTAGTTGTTTTCTTGTAGGCTGTTTATTATTACAGTCCAACTGTCCTTATAGAATAGCCCTTGTTTTTTCATCCCTGTTCCTGTCCCTCTCTTTTTGCACTGAATGAAAGTATTAAGGATTTTTGATTAAAAATTATATTAATACAAGCTGCTAATGGTGTCTTGTTAGTTACGGATAGCCAAATGAAAGTTTTGTGTTTATAAGAAGCATATCTCTGAGCCACGCTTCCTAGGGTGAGGATAACAATTATGGGAAGGATATTACCCTCATATTCTTTTTGACTCATCAACAAGGATAGGAAATTGGACTTACATCAGTTTACCCCAACTGGTTCTCTCTAGATACAATGCATTTCTATTCCCATCAGTCCTAGCCTTCATACTTCTGGAGATAACAGAAAAAATAGTCTGGCACCGCTGGAGATCCCTTGGTTGGTGAAAACTGGACTAGATGGAGATCAGGGCTGATGGATTTCTGCTATCATTTTGCTTTTCTTAGAAAAATGCTTGGGAAAATACTGGTGCCAGCACACACATCATGAAATATTTTGAACGTTGAGGGCTAATTCCCATGATGATGGGTTGAGCATCTATTTTCTATTCCTGTTTCCTGTTTCCTGTTTTGCATTTTATTTTATTCTTCATTAACCGGAATGGAAACATCTATCTTCAAAACAATGATGCCAGTTGTCTTCTAAGTGGCCCTCAGACAGGCAGATATTAGAAGTGAATATTTGGGTCTACACTGTGGCTGCCTTTGGTGCACGTTTCTTGGAAAATCTGGGTATTAACATAGATGGGTTATGACATAGTTAACCACATCAAGCTTTGTGTGTGTGTGTTTGTCTATATGTATGTATATGTGTGTTTGTGTGCATAATATTCTTAGAAGGAGATGTTCCAAATACAGATTTCCAATAATATGTTAGAGAAGGAGGATTCTCACTCATTAGGGTTACTGATAAGTGGGATCTTTGTTTCCCAAATAAGTGACTTTCATGCTTTTTAGTGAAAATATCATTTATGCCCAGCACTCTGCAGGGTAAAGACAATGTAGGCATTTTTAAATCCCAGGCAGACTTCAGTTCCTTGCCTTGGGAGATACAAAACATAAAGGGTATATAAAATTGCTATCCTGACCAACCTCCCAGTTTCTCAATGGTCATGAATGCAGAACTCTTATTTTCATGGCCAGAAAGAAAATGTCACGTGGAAATCAAAAGACTGCACATTCTTTGACCATGATGCATGCAAGACCCTCTGAAGCTGTGCGACTGACTTGGAGCCCATCAGCCGGGCTCCCTTATTCCCGCTGGCGGTTTGCAGTTGCTGGATCTGTCACTTTTGATCGATTCCAAATGCTTTTCCAATACTTGGCTGAACTTCAGAGTCAGAAGCAAATGGGAGATTGTGTCTGCTTTTTAAAGTGTTAAATGCATTTTATGGGCTAGAAACTCTCCTATTTTCCTCCTGTCTTGTTTTCCTCTACCTTCCTTTCTTTTTTTTTTTTTTGAAAGGCTATAGTGCCCACTGTATGGGCTCTTTCTGCCCTGGTCATTATGGGTACTCACAGCGAGTGTGTTATACTGATAGGCCTTGGATGTGGATCTGTAATAGCAAGAGATGCTCTGGAATTTTTTCTCTGCCAAAAGTCTTCCTGAATGTTGAGTTCTTTTGTTGGTTCCAAAGATTAGGAATTCTGTTTTTTGTGTGTGTACCCTTGAGTCAGTGTTGACTCCTGGAAACTGCCTGGACAAGTCCCTGCAGTATTCTTGGCAAGATTTTGGAAGCAGATTGCCATGGCCTCCTTCCTAGGGCTGAGAGAGAGGGACTGGCCCAAGGTCATCCAACTGGTTTTGTGCCTAGGCAGGATTTGAACTCACAGTCTCCTGATTCCTAGCCTGATGCCTTAACCACTACACCAAACCAGCTCTTCTTCTGGAATTCTGTTACTCGTTTCCCAAATATGGAATAACACTGCTTGGGCCCCAGTATCTAAATTTGTATCTGCCTTTCCTTCCAGAAATCAAAGCAGTACAAATAACATTTCCCTTTTCCGCTCTTTTCTGGCAACAATTTGAGGTAGGTTGGAATGAGAACTGACTCAAAATCACATCAAGCAAGTTTCTGTAATTATGATTGTGCTTGAACATGGCCTCCCTAATCCTAGTCTAGACTTTAAGCACAGTACCACATTGGCTCTTGGACTGACAAGACCTGAGTCATGACTGGAACTTTGTTCTTGCTTAGCACTGCTTTTTATTAAGATTTAAAAACAAATATATAAACATTTCCATCTGTTGGGACAGTTTCATTGCAACAACAGGTAAGACTCCTGCTATAGCAAAGACCTCCCAAAGAGTAAGTGACAAGCATTCAGATATTTAGGAGATTCATTTCTAGGGATAGGTGAGAAGATGTAATGATAGCACGCTTTCATCCCCCAAGTAAAGTCCATCACAGGTCTGGGGAGATTGCAAAACTGTAGAAGGATAATTGTAAAGATCTTAAATGAGCAATCTGTACTATGGCATCAGCTAATCATGATTTCTTTACTTGATGGTGTCAATAGGAGATACATTTCAGTTATTTTGACTGATTAACACCAAGATACAAGGGGCTGCAGATACACTTCATTCTTCCCTATTGTCATGCTGCATTGGTATGCATATAATAATTCAAACTAATGTTAGTGTAGTTCCTTCACTGAAAGCCTTATATGTATTTCTTTGTTTCTGGAGTAATGTGATTCATTAACTGCATCGGTCTTGCAAAAGCTGAGCTGAGGAAATAGAGCGCATTGCAAAAGCTCCACTCCCTTGGAATTGTCTTCATTTGTCTATTAGCTTTCTCTGTCTTCACATACAGGAAAAGGGACACAAACGCGTGGAAAATAATGGCATGCTAGACATGCACGTGTGGTCTTCAAGAGGCTGCAATCCAGAAGAACCGACGCTCCTTTCTACTGCTCTAGGCTTTGGATCCACACCTGGAGAATCTCAGAAGGCAACTAGACTTTGCACATGACCTGGGAAGCATTGCTGGAAGAGCAGCAGATCTTCAGCCCATAGACGGTGCCCTGCCAAAACAACCTAACTGGAACCTTTGAAGTCTAGAGATAAAATGGCAAGCAACCCTTTCATAAGCTTTACCTGCCAATAACTTTGCCGGCGTTGTACCTTCTAAATGTGGTTCGGTTGGCATGTCATACGCTTAATCCTGTTTTTGCGACACCCTAGAGCTTGTTGTGCAGATTACAAAAGGCAGCTTCTCTCTCTCCCTCTGTCTCTGTCTTTCTCTCTCTCTACTTTGCTCTGTGCTGTTCTTCCTCTGAAACTCCATGTGTTAACAGCTTGGTGACAGGCTGTTGCTTGCTAATTGGGAGTCTCAGAATGGAGCTGCAACAGCCAAATTTTCTCAGGCTGGGCTCCTGTGGCAGCCTGCGTATTCAAGCCCAGATGATCTTCCTTGCACCCTTAATAAGGCACTCATGCTGCCCGTACCTGTCATGACTCTTCAGCAAGCAGAGAGTTTAAGGACTCACTCAGAGAACATTTAGAGATCCTTTTGTGTTCAGAGAAGGAACACCCAAGTGGATTGTAATTGGGCTGTCAAGGGTTTTTGCTTGTCAGCGTAGGTGTAAACATGAATCGGCACTGACTGTGGGAAGAGAGCTGGGAGTTTATTTGATTCTCCCTCCCATACAACAAAGAGCAAGGGAATCCTTTTGTGCTGACCTTGGGAAGGTATCTTTGAACTCCCTTGCTCGCAAGCAGAGGGACATTGAAGTATTCTTTGCAAATTGCAAAATGAATTGACCTGGTCCACCCCATCTGGATAACTGGTTCAGAACGTCGGTTCTTCCTCACCCCCTCTGGATTTCTCATCCCTTAGAATTTCGTGATACAAGATTTACCAACATAGCAAGCTGCTATGCACGTTTTAAGATAAAAATCCATAGACAGATATCTAGGAGCAAAAATGTATTTAGAATTGTGGATCTAAATTCCACTTTTTGGGGGGGAGGGGTGTCTCCACTGCTGATAAATCATTGTTGCTGTTGCTTTTTGGAAATGCCTTGTTGTTGTTTTAGTTTTAGTGTGAATTCAGAACTTGGAGGATTTTTTTGCTGTAGAGAAATGCTCAAGTGGGACATGGTAGTGCTTTTCTATAATGTGCCAGTAAAATAGGTGAACAGAAAGATACAACTTGTATGTATACATTGGAAACCTGGCTCAAGATAGGGTCAAATAGCACATTCTGATAATTCTATCTGAGTCTTTATCTCTATTTGGAATAGTCTCTATTTGGGACCACAATACATGAAGAAAATTGAACCTTTCATCAACTTCCCTCCTAAAATTCTCCCTCCAGAAGAGATGGGAAGCTTTCTAAAATACCCATGTATGCATGCATATAGGTTTTTTTTGAGGGGCCATGAAAGATTTAAATTCAAGAGACATAGTTCCTTCCAAGACAGAGCTATAGAATGGGAAGAATAGTTACAAGTTGATCTTCTGCCTATGACACAGCTGTTCAAACATGGAAAAGCACTTGCTAAGGGAAAGCAGGAACATTTGGAATTCCTTCTTTTGATTCTTGGTGGATTCAGTAATATCCACTTCTAGTCAGCATGGATAGAATATGAACAATGATGATAAATGATACCATATTTTTCCATGCTATAGTATTTCGCTGACTGGGATCAAGCAGTAAATTCATCTGATATTAGAATAAGCCTTGAGAAAGAGATATGCCGTAAGGCAGAGAAAATCTAAGGGCAACATGGGAGAGTCCCCTAGATCAAGTGAACTGATGACAATGCAAATATGATGGGATCTCAAAATTCATTCAAGGGAACTTATTTCTTTATTTCTCGGTGCATGTAGGGATATGATGGGTGAACATCAGAAGCATTTCAAGATTTTTGCTTGATGCCATCATTACTGCATTTTCTCCTGTTCATTTGATCTAGGTGACTCCCTGGTGTTTCTGTTAGTAGAACTGGATTCATATCCATGAAGACCCAGTGATGTTCTTTTGCCTAGAAGGGTTTAAAAAAACAAGGCAGTCTTATCAAGCTGTTTTTGCATGATCACAGTGATCAGAGACATCTTACTTAGAATGCAGACTCATATCAGCCATAGTGGAAATCTACCAGGAATGGGGATGATTTAGAGGGAAGTGTGTCCAGAAAGATCTGGTTACTTTTGAAAGCAAATGATGGATGTATCATTTGGATTATGTGGGTTGGCTTTGAAGAACACCATCTGGGAGGTCAGATTCTTATCAGGCTCCTTTGTACCAGCTCAGACAAGCTCAATAATTTCTTTAAAAGCTGACCTTATTGTCACTTGTATTTCTGTTTCTGATCCCATGATATCAGTCAAATTCCCTCCTTCCCCCCTCAATACCCCTGTAGGCATCTGCATTTCTATGGCTAGACTAAATAGAAAGCCAAAAGGAAAGAGTCATTTTAAGGGGATCTGCTTCTCACCAACTGCATCACAAAAGATGTTGCAAAACAGGGTGATTAATGAACTATTTTGTTATTGCAACCAATATATGCCAGAAAAAAAGAATGTTATGGACTGGTGGGAAGTGTTCACATGACAGAAACGTGGTTTCTTATTGGTAAAAGGTCTTCTAATGGATGAGAACAAATCCTGTTTATCTGGCATTTCGTTTTTCATAAGGGCCAGTTAGATACTTCCAGGAAGTCCACAAGAGTTCATTGGAGTTGGGCAGTCAATAAATTTAAATAAATAAATAAGGAAGACATCATGGAATAGCCAACTAATACACACACACACCACACAAATTGCCAATTAATGTGGATTTCCCCCTACCATTTAATCATTGTGGCTAGTAGTCACTGAACTTTAATAAAGGCTTTAAAATGGAACTGAACTTCAGTTCCATCTTAAAGCCTGTATTAGTCCAGGACCAATTCTATCCAGCAGCTACCATTCCACCTAACTGAGGCAGACAGAGAACTAGGACACCTCTCTGCTAAGATTCTGACTGCCATTGGGTTTCTTTTCTGGAATGGTTTCTATTCAAGATAGAGCTTCTATCCAAGTTCTAGGAAAATAAGAATAAAGGCCTGAGTTCACTTTTCCATCCTCAGTTCTAGATCCTTTAGAGCAGTATATTTTACTCACCAGCAATCATCACTCAGATAAGCAAAGGTTACCACCAGGCACACAATCAAGC